CAGATGGATGAAATCCTGAAGCAGAGCAACTGTAAAGGTCACCAATCAGATGGATGAAATTCTGGAGCAGAGTGACTGTAAAGGTCACCAATCAGATGGATGAAATTCTGGAGCAGAGCAGCTGTAAAGGTCACTATGAAGTTTTCCAGTGAGTTGGACTCAAGTGGGGGGATAAAATGAGACTTATTGAAATATCTTTGTAAAATTAGACATTAACTGAATGCATACAGGTTCAGTCCATTTGAACAACCTTATACTGAAGAAGGAATATCTATGTGTATGTACATGAAATTTAGCAAGCTTTTAGTGAAATGTACAATTCTGTTTTACACAAAAATTTGGATGAATTTCAGTTATTTGTATTTAACATATGTCAATCTGACTCTGACTAGGTGGAGTGCAAGGTGAGAAATGAAGATACTTTTATCCATTATTTAGTTTATTTAATTTACATAACCACTTAACTACAATATTTTTCAGCATCCCTGTATTTTGTATCTGGTATTTACTCTCTTTCACAATGAAGTGTCACTAAATCAGTAATATAAGGTAAAATTAATAGTTGATAACTCTGACGTCGATTACATAATACCATATTGAGTGACACTTTGTAATAGGTCTTGGCTTATGCACATAGGATTAACAGATATTGAACTGGAAATACTGCCAATGCATGCATCTCACCCACCACCAACAACATTGGAATATGAGCCACTCACTAATTAATAAAAGTTTTGAGTCCATTAAAAATATAAGACAGAAATATCACAAAATAATCTATTAAGTTAAAAAGTGAAAATAGCTAAACATATGGGTTGCCGTCACGATATGTTGAAGCACCACTCTTGACCCGAATAAAAACTGCAAGGCATTCTCTCGACCGGTATGTAGAGGAGTCTGCTCGGTTGTTGATGTTTGTCCGTCCAGCACAACAGGTATTTCAGTTGGAAGAAAACCAGAGTACCCTAATTTAAAAAAGAAAAAAACTTTCACAAGCTTTCATTTATTGGCTGATTATCACTTAAGTTTCTGATATATTGATAGGGAGTATATCTCTTGGGAGTTGAAATGCTATTTTGATGGCTTTATTTTGTTGCTGATGAAGCTTGTTAAAAAGGTTGTTTCACATGTTACAGCTCAACTGTACTCGAATAAAGGTCCAATATAGGCTTTGTATATTTTTTAGAATAGGTAGGTTGTTACATCCATTATTTATTCCTCCTATTCAATAGAGGAAAGAAATTCTTTGGGTGGAATTTTGGATGATTATTATTTATGTGGTCTGTCAATGAGAATGTTTTGTTTAGGGTCATGCCTAAAAACTTAACTGTATTGGCGAAAGATATCGAGATAATGCATAATTTGAGATTTACGTGTTCTAGGTTTTTCTTTTGTTTGGTGAAATGCTATAGCTTTGTTTTTAAGGGGGGTTGAGAGCCACCTGTCACTTGTTGCACCATAGAGATACTTGTTTACACTCTTCTTACTGCAACGAGTGAGTGGGTCAAGTGAGGTGCTCCAGATAGCAACGACATCAAAGTATTGAGATGCGAGCGTGTATGTTAATTGAGGGAACTGAATGTTATTAACCAATAACATGTATAACAGAGCACTTAATACTGAGCCTTGTGGTACACCCACTTCTAAAGATAATGATCTAATAGTGTTATTGTTAATTTTAACTTTAGCGATCTGGTCGATTAGAGAACTTGATATCCTCTGGATGATGGAGGTACAGACTGAATTTTGTGATAATTTATATTTGAAACTGTTGTGCCAGACAGAGTCAAAAGCTTTTTTAACATTGAGAAAAGTGGCTATTGAAGTATGTCTTTTGTTAAAACCTTAAAATCGATTCAGTTAATCTAACTATTTGATCAGTAGTTTCTCTTACTTCTGTCTGCATTTTGTACTTTCCCAAGGATGTTTTTTGATTCTAGATAGCGTAATAATCTATTTACAACTTGTTTTTCCATGAGTTTGCCTAGGGTGTTTAGTAAATTGATAGGTCTTAAGTTTTTTTGGTTATTTAAGTTGTTTGTTTTTTTTAGGAATTATTTTTGTGATGGATTTACCAAGAAGAACATTTGAACACAACTTAAAAACATACAGAAGTCAAAATTCTTATCAAGCAATACTTAAAGGAGATGACCAAATATACATAAAAAATGTAATTGTGAAACATTAGAAATAGGATGGTAATTCTCTAGACATGTATTGTTACTAGATTATAATTAAGTTTTAGAAAACATGTTCATAAAACATTTATTTAGATGTAATTTTGTAAAGAAAAATTATTCATTATTTTCTGTCATAGGCATTCAGCTTGTTATCAGTAAATGTTTTGTGTTGTGAATAGGTTGGAAGTTTTTAAAATATCTTCGAAGTATTGTGCATATATATATATATATGCTTGTTAATTTAATTTTTTTTTCCAGAATAAGGCAGGGTTGGATTTGGATTCATCTGTTGATTTGTAGAAATTGTTCGTCTTGTTGCTGCTGTTGGATAATTAGTTTTTTTTCCTGTTAATTAGTGGTCTTAAAGAAGGATGTTGTGTTGTGATGAAAGCTCACTTTAATTGTTGTCTGTCTAAAATTCTCACTTTAATTGTTGTCTGTCCAAAATTCTCACTTTAATTGTTGTCTGTCTAAAATTAAATAATGAATTTCTGGGGTAAGTTTCCAAGATTTAAAGTTAATTGATGATGATTGATCTCATCTTTTAAATTAGCCCCCCCCCCCCCTTCTAGATATTCACCAAGATGTTCAGTAGATTGAGAGTCCTACCTTAGGACCTTGATAATGATTCATTGGAACTAGGGGTACGTATCTCATCATAGTAGTCGATACGATACATATCCATATACAGAAGTTTGACCAACGGTTTGTTACAAAGTTTGACAGTCTTGTCTGTAATTTATTATCTATATTACTGACATTGTCTTACTTCAGTACTTCACATTTTATAGGGCCTTTTTCAAATTCTTGGGTTTGATCAACTAAATGGCGTCTCGCAAAAGAAGTAAAATAAAAAAAAGTTAATATCTGTCTATCTATTTTGTTACTGTTAACTGGTTATGTTATTTTAAATGTAATGTTTTTTATAAAAGAAATGACGTGTAGTACTCAATACTCTTCTTTATTTAATCATTAATTGAAAAAAAAATACTTTATTAGAAATTCTGATTTTTTCTGTACAAAACACTTATAATGTTTACTGTAAGCTTGTCAAATTTCATGAAGACACATAAATTGTATAATATCAGATGATGTATCGATACAATCGTATCACGGCTTCACGATATGATACGGGTATTGTATCGCCACACCTTTAATTGGAACCCAGTGCGAGTTGGATGTGAGAGTTCATAATGGTTATATTCCGATTGCTTGGATAGTTGGAATAACACTAACTTTCAATAGTTGATTATTTTTATGACATTAATCTGTTTTAATCATGATTTTCATTAAATGATTATTTTACATGATTCTCAATGATAAAGTAGTGTTTAATTGTGACTGCTTTAGTTTCCAGGTGTGGTTGTATACAACATGAGTAAAGCAGCTTTAGACCAGCTGACTCGGACAGCTGCTCTGGGTAAGTCCTTGTCAGTGTGTTATTATGTCAGAAGTGAGTTTTTTTTAGTTTTAATTTATTTATTTACTGTATAAATTGAATAAGGTAATATTTCATCATCGTTATTTGTGTTTCCTATCAAGATCAATGTTCTGCACTTATGACGTTTGTTATTTTTATAGTTTTTTTAAGACAACTTTCTATTAAAGGATTAGTTACATATTTTTCTCTTTCAAGAAATCTACAATAATAAAAGAGTGTCTGTGCATGTGTGAATGCCATAGCTCCAAGAGGAAAGAACCTAGAGACCTGAAACTTTGCATGTGTACTAAGGGAATTCTGAGGATGTGCACCCGAGTATTAATTTTTCAGATTTGACTGAAAAAAAAAAATGTTTGGGCAATGTTTTGCCCAGTAGCCGTTAATCCCCATAATTCTGCTTCTGAAGATCTATAGAAAAGTATAATATTTTTTTCTAATTCTCACCTACTGAATGAACAATATGTGGAGGTTTTTTTGTCAAATTCTCTTCTTTGACACAAACATGGGGAAAAAAATACAAATATGCGAATTAAAGTTTGGGAAATGGCAACAAACAACGGGAGGAAAATATGAATCTGAGAATTAAAGTTTGGGAAATGGCAACAAACAACGGGAGGAAAATATGAATCTGAGAATTAAAGTTTGGGAAATGGCAACAAACAACGGGAGGAAAATACAAATCTGCGAATTAAAGTTTGGGAAATGGCAACAAACAACGGGAGGAAAATATGAATCTGAGAATT